GCCATTGGACTTTTAGTCCCTTAATCACCTAAATGTTTTTTTAGAAGCTGGTCTAGCCAAGTCTCATCTTAGTTGTGAAATTTATTTTTATTAACACTTTTATTATTTTTATAACAATTTTTGCAAGATTTTACATTTATCTCTATGATATATCCCTGTTCCATTTTTCTTTGTACCCCCGGCATTTGGTAGACTGTCTGGTCCATTTGTTCAGTGGCCTTTCGGTCATGTTTGACTCTTCATGACCCCATTTGGGATTTTCTTGGCAAAGTACTGGAGTGGTCTGCGATTTCCTTCTCTAGCTCATTTTACAGATGAGGAAACTGAGACAAACAGGGTTAGGTGACTTGTCCAGGGTCACACAGCTAGTAAGTTTCTGAGGCTGGATTTGCACTTGGTTCTTCCTGACTCCAGGCCTGGTACTTTATCCACTATGCCACTTAACTGCCTATCTGGCCCATTACAGACATTAAATAAATGCTTATTGATTGATCCCCTTTAAATGATTAGGTTTGGCCCAGCACACTATCCTAGTAAAATACTCTTGAATTCTGTCTGAATGTTTTAATTATCCTTATTAACTTTGGGCCATCTTCAGATTTGCTCTTTTCCTTTACACAAATCATTGGAATAAATGATAGTACCAAGACAAACATAGATACCCTACTTAAGACCTTCCAGTCTGACAATGAATGCTTCATTGGGTCTGGTCATTCAATGAATTCTGGATTTACATAGCTATACTACCTGCCAGCCTTTTTTTTTTTTTTTGAGAAAAAAGTATCACGTCTTTTAGATCTTCAAATTCATCTAGCACAGAGCCCAGTTCATTTTATATGCAACTTTAAACACTGGACAAAATTAGATACTACCAACTTTGTTAAGAAAAAGACAGTATTGGTATAGAACATTCTTTGCTAGTTAAAGAGATAGATATAACTATTTTCAAATATAAATTGACTGGTTTTAAAAAAGAACAACATCTCCTATAACAAATTAATATTTTAACTACAATGGAACAAACAGGCATGAATCAAATTATCAATATTTTCTTTTACAAAATGTTTTTCATATGTTATGTAAATTGTACATAATTTCAATAATTTTAAAGGCATAGAACTTTTAGAGACACCATGCCATGCCTTTTATCTAGCAAATAATTGTACAACACAACTTCTGTTTTGAATTTCCATGTTTATTAGATTTTTCCTAATTCTTGTTGAACAGTAATTGAATCTCATCCTGGAAACATATTGATCTACTTGCAGAATAGGAGACACCAAAATGTAAAGAACTTCTTTGTCAATAAGTCTAGAAATCCTAGAGGGAGCCATCTCTAGTCATCCTTATTTATATCTTGCCACTGGATTCAGATGGTTCCGGAGGAGAAAGTGAGGCTGGAGACTTTGCACAGCCCTCACTCACTTAAATCCAATTCACTTGCAAGTCATGGCATCACCTTCCTGATGTCATGGTCCTCTTTGAGAAAGAAGGACAAACAACAGACAGCTAAGAAGGCAAAATTATCTTGTTTGCTTTCTACATAAACCAAAACTGAAGTTCATTATAAAATATGCATCACAATCACTACCCTCTCCTAAGACAAAAATCAAAAAGCTTTAAAAGGCAAGTTTGATGCCTACTGGTGATTCATTCAACAAACATTTGCTCCAATATACTGCCATGACTGATGTCTGATGTCATTCACTTATCTGGGATAAGAGACACAAAAATGACTAGTCATAATTAAACATAAAGCTAATGGGGTAGCCAGGAATAAAATTTAGATCTTTTCCCTTCTATTAAAAATAGAGGCTGGTCCTGTGTTACTGCTGCTTTAATAGGATATATACATCACTATTTCGAGGATCTGTGATTTTACCTATGTGTAGAGAACCTTCTAATAAGAAACTGCAACATGTATATACTTTAGTAAGTGGTCTTCATGAGTTGAAGTAGTTAAAAAAAAAAATCATCTCCTGGTAACTAAACTTCTGGTAAAAGAGTCTCCCTTAAATTAGGGATAGTCCTTGGCAAAAGCGTCAGTCACTTGAGTTTATCCTTGAAGCTCTTCCTGTTCATTAGAACCTCCCAGAATTCATTCTCTGCTGGTATAGTCTTTATAAGAACCCAGGGTTATTTCTACACCATGATAAGGTATCAGAATAAGGCCTTAGTAAAACTTAATATGAAATGGTAAACAAATTGTCACAGCTTTACAGATATTACAGTAAATATTATATACTCAGTAATCTGAGAATAAGATTAATTTTTATGATGCCTTTCCTCTAATCACTGACATAGTTTAAAGTAGTATAGTTTTGGTGATGTGGTTTTGTTTTGTTTTTTCAGTTTAGAACAGGTCTGTTCTATTATTATCTCAGTAAGAAATAACTGTTAGTTGCACACCCCAGAGGGCAAACCAATGAATTCAATAAGAATTTAATTTCTAAGTAAAAACAAACAAGACATTTATCAGATGATTCCCCCAAAAGACAAGATGTCCAGAAAAGGGATATCTTTGCCAAGAGGATATGAAATTGAGACTTTCTTCAGTAGTTATGGTGGACTTAATGAAGATATAGAGGAAAAGTAGTACCACGTAATTCTGTAGGCATCAAGGTGGCAGGCACCTGTCGTGTTCTGAGTTACCACAACTCAAGGCCACATGTGGCCCTTTAGGTCCCAAGTGTGGCCCTTTAACTGAATCCAAACTTCACAGAATAAATCCCCTTAATAGAAGAATTTGTTCTATAAAAGTTGGACTCAGTCAAAAGGCCGCACCCAAGGAACTAGAAGGTCACATGTGGCCTCAAGGCCACAGGTTCCCCATCCCTAATCTAGTGTATAAAAGGCTGTTGATGGGGAAGGGAGAGAAATATAATCAATTTTGGGTCACTGGCCAACCTGCTGTATACTGCAGTCAGGAGTATTGGGGCCTGGGATAACTGTGGCTATTATAATTATCTCCTGAACCAGTGTATCCTTATAATTAATATAAATCTACAACCAGGAGTACCTCAAATAGTACCTTTAAACTAGGCATAAAGTAGATACAAAACTTTAACTAGACATAATGGCATAGAAATTCTGTATTATCAACAAACTGCCTACAACAAAAAGCACATTTTTATAGGATACTTAGCCACAGAGCTGTTTTCTTTCTAGAAAATGGACAGGCCTATAAATGAAGTGAACCTATAACAATTATTTGATTCTACTTTCAAGGAAGTTAAAAGCAGGTTTACAGATTGAGAGCTGAAAAGGAATTGAGAGGTAATTGGGGCCACCCCCTCATTTTAAAGATGAAGAAACTGATACCAGAGAGGTGAAGTCACCTGCCCAAGTTCACACAGTTAAGTAGCAGAGCCACAATTTGATTCCACATTCCCCCCACCCTAGTACTCTTTCCATTGCCTTTTTTTACATTTACTTAGCTTACCACAACTAAATTTATTTTCAACTTTCCCCACATGGTTGCATCAGTTAATGATGGAGAAACACATATAAAGAATAATTCATTTTTTTCCCTTTCACTCAGGCTTGAGGGCGATAGTCTAAAAATGAATATGGTTAACATGAATAAATGAATTAGGTGAAATAAGGTGGGAGAAATGATTATTAACAACCAATGATTTGGGGACATACAGATTTCCCCCTTTTTCTATTATCCTCATTTCAAGATCACAGTTTCTACAGGCTGAACTAACATTTTCCTCTATCTGACCCCACCCAACCTTATAAGGAATTTCTAGCCTAAGGTGAATTCCATTCAATCAAGCTTGGGTAGAGACAGATCCTTCTGTCTAGGTTGCCCAAGGCTGCGAGTGATCTGGGTACAAGGATAGTCAGTTCAAGAGTGACAGGATGTCACTCTTTGTCACCCCTCAATGGAGTGAGCTCACTTCTCATTGTAAAGTGGAACCAATCAGAGTTGATTGCCACCCTCAGGAACACTCTTCTTCCAAAAGGGCATATAAGATGTGAGACCACCACCATAATTGTCTTTGGCTTAAGAAAGAGACAGTCAAATGATCATCTTTTTATTAATAAAATAATTAAATTACCCAGAAATGTCTCTCAAACTTTTCAGTGGCACAAAGGATAAAGTGCTGCAGTTATACTGCTTACTTTTTTTAGAGAAACAAGATTCCATCTCTGGAAAACAGTTACAAGAATTAAGTTACTATTATAATGATCAGAGACTTAGAATTGGAAAACATCTTGAAATCAAGTCATTTTATGGGAACTGAGACCAATATAGGGCAGTGACTTGTCCAGGGTAGTACATGGGCAAGCCTAAATCATGTGTCCATTTCCAGCACTCTTTCTACTATACTAGGCTGTGTCAAACCCAATTAACAATCTATCGTAAAATTTGCAAATACATCTTTTGGAAAACCAAAGAAATGAATATATTTTAAAATGCATATAAATGTAAATAAAACATGAAAGTTCATTAAAAACTTAATTTTTACTAAGTGCTTAACCAATTAATAACAACAGACTTAGTACTTTAAAGTTTTCAAGGCATTTTATTGTACATTATCTAATTTTAGCCTCACAACAACCCTATGTCTGGACCTGTGATTTCAACCCAGTGGGAAGCACCTAGTGTAAAAGTTTCCTCCAAAGATGCAAATTAGCAGCTCATCTGTAACTTCAGTTTTAAAGAGTTGTCTGGAGCACTAACGTTAAGTGACATAACCATGGTCACTCAGTTAGCATGGGTTAGAAATAGGTCTTGATCCAAGTTGTCTTTACTCCACATGGCTGGTGCTGTAGCTAAACACCAAACTGTTTCTCCAGGGAGGGACCACAGGTACCAGTATCCATTTTATACCTAAGGAAATTCAGACTAAAGTAATGCAGTAGAAAGTGGCAGAGGCAAGGTTTGCTTCCAAGTCTAGCATGCTATCGACCCACCACACTGCATGCTGCATCAAGTACTGCCAGGCCTATTCAATTCATCAAGCAAAAAAAATCTTTCTAGAAGAAGGAAAAATTCACGATTAATTTTATTTTTTCTTTATAAAACAAATTATCTTAAGGACTATTATGAAAAGAATAAAAATCCCCACAAAACCAGTCTGAATATGATAAAAGAATTTAACCTTTTGTGTATGTAATCTAAGTATAAAACATGCCTATTAAACTTAGGCATGTTTTATACTTAGATCACATACACAAAAGGTTAAATTCTTAACTTAATCTTGCCTTAAAGGAGAGAAGCTCTTCATGTATTATTAAGTCATGCTTTCAACAGTGTGAAAAAGTCCTTAAAACATGATCTGTCAAATTTCAAAATCAGTATAATATATTATACTAGAAACTGTTTAACATGATCCATAAGATTTCTATCACTGAACCATTTTACAATTTAAATCACTTTTATAAGAAAGTTAAATCTAAATGAAATGTGAAGGTCCAAAACTGATTTAACTATACTAAATATATTTCCAACATAGTCTTAATATGCAGCAATCATTTTAGTATATTTTATCTTCAAAAAATTACCTGTCATACAAAAACTTATGTCTATTTCCTAGGCAATTAATATAGTGGTTACAAACATCAAGTTTAGTTTTCACACATCTACTTTCAAGCACATAAAAACAAAACAATGCTAAATAAAAAATTTACTTTTTCTAAAAACAAGAGTTAAATGTTTTATATAATCTCATTAATTTTATAATACAATGTCTTTGAGATTGATGAGGGAAATCCAAACTGGATAGCAGAAAATTTTACATACTTTTTGTCAGCAAGGTAGTATGTGAGTTCACAAACGAATTGCATAACTATTAATCAACATAAACATTATTGTGAATTTAAATCACACACCACATCAATTCAACAACAAATTGAAAAAATAGTTTAATGTGTCTCTTTAAAGGAAGTAACAGTTTTCTTTCTTAAAGGAAAATAAAGCAATGGTTATGAAGTCCAGCGCCACCAAGCTACCTTCATTCTGTCCCAAACAGCTGTAAGAGAATCAAAAGCAGGACGGACATCCAAGATGGTAAACTGATAGTCCTTATTTACTTCTCCACCATCATAATAATCAATAACATATCTAACTTCTGTTCCACAACGATTAACAATCCAGTCATGCCTGTCAAAAGGCAATTCATATCTGAAATAAAAACGTTCTAGTCAGTACAGGCTCCGTATTATCAATTAAGCAGTTAAGTATTTATAACACTTATATTGCCCTCAAGGAACTTCCCAACTATATACAGAGTTTTTAAACTAACACAAAAAACAAAGAACCATATAATATTAAATTAGTAGAAGTGCTGTGATACCAAATGTCGTAATAATTCAGTGTAGGCTGCAGTTGTCAGGGAAGGCCTCGAGGAGAGCTGAGACTACAACTTGACTCTGAAGGGTTTGGGTTAGGTAAAAAAGGGAAGAAGATATTACAGGGAAGAGTACCAGCAGGAAGAAAAAAAAAAAGCTAAGAATATGGAAATAAGGTACAATATTTTTGGGTCTGAGAAAATGAGACCAGCTTCACCAGATTAAGGAGAATGAAAAAACTGGAAGTAGCAGAACTGATGTTGGATAGGTAGGCTGGGAACATGTTATCAAGGACCTTGAAAGTAAGAGGGCAAACTGGACTTGATGCAGTAAGATGAAGAGAGTTACACCACATATTGTTGAGCAGGGAAACAGCACACTGAGGCCAGGGTTTCTATAGTTTAGACAGGCAAGGGCACAGAGAATAGAATGGAGGTAGAAGGGCAAGACTGGCTAAAAGGCTGCTGTGATAATCCAGGGATTAGTTGATAAGAGCCTGAAATATAGCCCAAGTGGGAGGAGCAATAACAGCCAAAACAACAACAAAAAATGGTTGTTGCTACTCCTAGGAAAATTGGCAGGAGTCAGTTTTAGGAGGAAAGATGCAGATTTCTGTCTTGGTCTTGTTAGCCTGACATGTTAAGTGAAAAAGCTGTATAGGGAACTGGAAATAAGTGAATAGAGGAAAAGGAAAGGAAATGGAGATGTAGTAACAGTCAGACTCTTGAATGGGTAAATCCTCTGAGAGAATATGAAATAAAAAAGCCAAAGAAGGGGTGTGGAAAGAGCTTTGGAAGGGCAAGGTGTCACCCATGGTTAAGATGAAGAAGGTGTAAGAGGAATATTAGCCTAACAATTCTAAAACCAAATATTTGACAAACAGTCCTACCCAGAGTCCTTTACTTTAATACTTAACTCCAAAGTAACAACCTCATTGCCTAATTCAATAGACTTTTTTTTCATTTATGATGGCCCCTGTCTTCATTATAACAGGTGATCTTGTCAACTCTCTCCTGAGATGCACAGAATACAAGTTGAATGGGACTCAGAGGTCATTCAACCCCATACGTAAGAGCGTTTCCCTTACAACATTTTCAACCAACAGTCATTTGGCCTCTGTTTGGAGACCTCTGAGGATGAGGAATATATTAAGCCAACCCATTCTCCTTTTTGACAATTGTAATTGTTGTAAAGATGTTGATTATATCAAGTTGGTATGTTTTTTGTAACTTTCTCCTCCTCTACTTGTAACATTGAAATCTGTTTCCTCTTTTTACTTATCTCAGTACTACTTTTTCATCTTCACTAGTTTCTCTTCCTTCTATCTCCTAAACTTGAAAAAAAGTCCAAAATGTGCTTGGTCCTCTTCTCTCTTGTTGAGCTCATTATCTGCTTCCATAGTTTCTATTATGACTTCATTCGGATGACTTCCAAATCTCCATCTCTAGCTCCAATGTCCTAAGAAGAGCTTAAGTCTCACCTTTCCAAATTTCTGAAAGATATTTCTATCTACATTTCTCCTCATAACTCCAAGTCAACATGTTCCAAACATCCAGATTGAAATTTATGATTTTATGTCAAACATAAATGAGAAAGTTATCAAATCTCACTGATTTACTTTTTCATTATCTATTCCCACCATCTAATTCAGGATCTTCTCTCTCTTCACTTAGATAATTATAAAAAAAGCCTCCTTATTGGTTTTCCTGTCTCTACTCTCCCAACCCATTTTCTCTCTAGTTGTCACAATCATCTCAGCTATAGAGTAGCACATTATTACCTTGCTCAAAAACCTTGTGTGGCATATCCCATATCAAATTAATACAGTACAAACTCCTTGGCCTGAAATTCAAAGCCTTCTACAATAGAACCCCAACTTATTCTACAGCCTTATTTCACACATTCCTCTTCATGCAGTCTATCTTTCAGCCAAATTAGATTACTCACCCTCCTGTTATTCTTCTGCCTTCTTCCATTTGTGTCTTTTCCTCATGCCATCTCTAATTACTGGAAGTGAAATCTTCTACCAAGTCTGCCTACTGAAATCTTTCCATTTCTCCTATGCTTAGTTAAGGTAACGCCTACTCTATGAAGTTTTCCCCATTCATCTTAAGAGTAAATTATTTCTTCTTCTTGCAATTTGTCATAGTTCTTTGTTTGAAATTCTCTTTTTCACTTATATTTTAATTTGTGCTGCATTTGTCTGTGAACATTTTCTTTCTTCTACTATATTGTAATCTTATGTCATTTTTATCTTCAGTACTTAGTACAATGCTATGCTTATCCTAAGTGCTTAATAAATGTCTGTTGAATTGAATTAGGGTAGATTGGTTTCCACAAATGCTTTAAGCAAAATTCTAATACAGTTGGTCCAACAGCTCCAATGATATTCTACAGATAAGCATGCCTAAAATGTGCTAAATTATTATTCTTTAATGAAGGAGTCAATCCTGAACATATATTCTAAAAGTAGGTAGATACAATATGCACAAGATGATTAAACTTCTGAATTTTTGTACATGAAACTAATCAATAATCACTAATTAATATGCATCCTTATATATTCCACGATAAGTTAGTCTTCCACAAAAGGGAGTATAATATACAGTGTGCTACTACAAATCAAGATGAGAGAATATGTACAGTTGAATAGAGATTAAGCTATGAAAAGATAGTACTTAAGCAATACTTCTTATCTTTTAAAAAAAAAAATGTTAGTTCACATTTTATTAGACTCTATAACACATAGAACAATATGCAAACTTAGAACCATTAAAAATATTTCTGGACTATAACCTACCCCATCCATGAGCGAATTCTAGCTCTTGGTGAATATTCCTTAGCTTTACCTCCAAATCGGATCAGTGTTGGCCCACATGGGCACTCACTGTAAATACAAATAAAATCACAACCAATCAAAATATGTTCTTAATACGTATGGTAAGCGAAAACTAAGAATCTTGAAAAAATTTAATTAATTATTTAATTACATTAAATATTTAAGCGATGCATTTATGAAAAATATATCATTTTGCTCATGAATTAAGTACTTCAGGTCTCTTCTTGTTCTTTTCAACAGTCATTGTTTATTTAGAAGACATACTTTGGAAGTAGTATAGAAAAAGAAGTGGCTATTTTCTACTTGCTGGATAGAAATCAGTGTTTTTAGAGGGAAAAACCATGGCTTTTTGTGATGGGTCAGCAAAAGAACAGAATTCAAATCCTATCCTTAGACAAAGTCACTTAACTTTCCTTTTTTTAAAATTTATTTTTAGTTTTCAACATTCACTTTTATAAGATTTTGAGTTCTAAAATTTCTCTCTGCCCTCTCCCCGTGACAGCATGCAATCTCATATAAGCTATACATGTAAAATCATATTAAACATATTTCCATATTAGTCATGTTGTGAAAGAAGAATCAGAACTAAAGAGAAAAACCACAACAAAGAAAAAAAAAGAGAAAATAGTATGCTTTGCTCTCCATTCATACTCCATAGTTCTTTCTCTGGATGCAGACAGCATTTTCCATCATGAATCATTACGAACTGTCTTAGATCACTGCACTGCTGAGAAGAGCCAAGTCTATCAAAGTTAGTCATCGCACAATGTTGCTGTTACTGTCTACAATGTTCTCCTGGTCCTGCTCACTTCACTCAACGTGAGTTCATGTAAATCTTTCCAGGTTCTTCCTAAATCCACCTGCTTGTCATTTTTTATGGAACAATAGTATTCCATTACATTCATATACCACAACTTGTTCAGCCATTCCCCAATTGATGGGCATCCCCTCAATTTCCAATTCTTTGCCAACCACAAGAGCTGCTATAAATATTTTTGTACATGTGGGTCCTTTCCCCCTTTTTATGATCTCTTTAGGAGACAGAACTAGTAGTGGTATTGCTGGATCAAAGAGCAGGCAGACTTTTGTAGCCCTTTGGGCATAGTTCCAAATTGCTCTCCAGAATGGTTGGATCAGTTCACAACTCCACCAACAATGCACCAGTGTCCCAATTTTCCCATATCTTCTCCAACATTTATCATTTTCCTGTTTTGTCATGTTAGCCAATCTGATAGGTGTGATATGGTACTTCAGAGTTGTTTTAATTTGCATTTCTCTAATCAATGTCACTTAACTTTCTGAGTCTCAGTTTCCTCATCTGTAAAGTAATGGGCTTGGCTATGATGCTGTGGCATAAAGGCTACAATGTTGGACTTGGAATCAGGAAAACCTGATTTCAAATCCTGTCTCAAATACTTAATAGCTATGTGATCCTGTGCAAGACACTTAATCTGTTATCTTCAGTTTTGTCATCTGTAAAATTAGAATAAGAGGACCCACCTTACAGGGTTGTTGTGAGAACAAAATGAGATAATATATGTAAAGGGTTTAGCACTTTTACAGTATTCTACAAATGCTAGCCACTATCATCATTATCATTATCATCATCATCCTTTTAAAGTCACTCCTAGCTCTAAATCTAAGATCCTATGAATTAAATAATATAATGAAAATATAGAGGATTCTAAGAGGACTAATGCTTTTTATTTTTCAAATCACCCCTAAGGATAGAAAATATTAATTCCATAAGGTGGTAGAGAATTGTGACTATAGATGGTCTGTCTGATAAGATTAAGGTTCAGGAAGTTTGTATTTTTTTACTGAAGTTTGTATTATACAAATTTGTATTTTAGAAATACAAAGCTAGGTATGCATAAGAAGACTGCATGAGGTGAAGACAGAAAAAATATTGAGCATAATTTGCAACTTCATCCTTTCTAACCATTTCAATGACAATGTAACTAATTTTTGATGCTCTCCTTTACCGATTACTGAGACTAGGAAGGAGGAAGAATTCAAAATGTAACTGCTTCTCTATTATCCAAGGCTTGCTTATTTTATTTATGGTTTTATGTCTCTGGTTTGTCCCTTTCCTCTTTTTTTCAGGTTTAATCTCTTCTATAGGGTGTCCAAAGAACTGAAAACAAAATTCAGTCAAAGTTGCTCCTAGCAAGTCTAAAGCATAATAACTACTTTTAATGCCTGCTGAATAATGATAATTCTGCAAAAAAATAAAATAAAATAAAAAATATATGTATGTATGTATGAAGCATCAATACAGGGAAGGCATACAAAATCAAAACTAAACAGTCCCTGCTCTCACTTTATCAAGGTAGACAACATGTACACATAGAAACATAGACAAAATAGAAGCTGACTTTGAAGGAATGTACAAGAAGCCTGGAATGGTAGGTGGAAGTCAGGGTGTAAAGGGTTTTGCCTTTCAAAAAGAGAATTCTTTATTTCTTTAAGAAGTAAGAAGGGGTTGGTCATTAGAGTTTGTGGAGTGATGAAGTGTACATGATCAGACCTGTGCTTCTGGAATATCACTTTGGCTGTTGTGTAAAAAGGGGAGAGGCTTGATGTAGGAAGACCAAAAAGTACAACTGGATAGGAAGTTGAAAATAAGTGGTTAAAAGTAAGTTTAGGGGCTCTCTATTAATTATTTTTATTCCATCTATTCCTGCCCCACATTAGTAATGAAATGACCAGATTATACTTCAAGATTATTATGATAATACTACTTTAAATAGAGATATTAAAACTCTAAAGAGTGAGAGGCAGCTGAATGGTATAGTAGATGAAGAGTGCCAGCCTAAAGTCAGGAAGACTTGAATTCAGCCTCAGACACTTACTAGTTGTGAGAGCCTGGGTAAATCACTTCACTTCTGTCTCAGTTTCCTCAGCTGTTTAATGGGAATAATAACAGTACGTCCCTTCCAGGGCTGTTGTGAGGATTAAAATGAGCCAATATTTGTAAAGTGCTGAGCACAGTGCCTGGCACACAGCAGATGCTTAATACATGCTTATTCCCCTTTCCCTTTCCTAATGGTGATTTCCAATTGGTGCAAATCTAAAAAAGTGCTTATAGGATTCATTAAAAGTTTATCATAAATGTACTTACGTGGCATGAAGAGCTTCCCACTTTAAAATCTCCTTCCAAGCCTGTTCGTTATTCTGATTATGAATCTTAATAATATTATACATATCTTTCTGACTGATGTCATCATCTTTCCACTTCCATCTAGTAAAAAAGTATTTTACAGAATTCTTAATTACTTCAAAATGCTGCTATAAAATTAATCAATACACATTTTAAAGAAGTCATATACAACTATGGTTAATACACAAGCAAATTAAGCTAATTATTTGGTTCACTGCTTTAATTCTTAGGTATTTTGATAATATTTATACAGCTGAAGAATACATTATGTATATTACATTTACTAACAAACCCAAATTTATTCAGTATATTAGCTGAAAGGAAATTATTATTTTAACATAATAACATTTCACAAACTACCAAATATTAGTGAGTTAGCAAGAGCATTCTGGAAATAATCACTGCCACATGTGAAGCAAGAATACCTATTTGATGGAAATGATTAATGTTCCTATTATTTTTTCAAGTACTTTATGTGAAAATAAGGAATTCTTACTTCACTGTGGTTGGATTCACATGTATTTTGATAAAGCATGCTTAAAGTCAACTATTAGATAACTATTAGAAAATAAGTTTTGAAATGTTTACTATATATTTGGAGGTAATTCTATATCATACATCTTTCAGGGAATCTTTTTAAAAATTATATTTACAGTCTACTTGACATCATTATTTACCTACCCTTTTCTTAACATGGCATTCCAGAACATCTGTTCTGAAGGGTAAACCCACTTTTTTTCTGAATCTGCCCTGGGAATTGATGATTCTTCCCTAACAGTTGATAGTGCAAATGGCTGACCAGGGGACGGTGTCTGATTAGGTGGTGGCATCTAAATAAAATAAGAAGATTGCTGAGTTTTTTTTTTAAACAATGGGAAAATTCTGATGTGAAAATATCAATTATTAACATAAAGATCAACTGCTGATTGCTAAAACACCAAAATTATTGTTTGATCATTTTTTTTTGATTACATACACTCATCAGTCATATAAGCTCACTATGATGAAATTCTCACACTAACATTTTCAATACTTCATACTAGCTATCCTTGGAGAGAATTTTGCATTTTTAAAAACCCAAGAGAATCAAACACAAATTGCTTTTCTCCAGCAGTTATTATTTCTACTGTATTGTAAACACAATTGTTCAATTTCCTGTTTTGTTTAAAATGTCAAACTACAAACTAATACTTTATTTTTTTAAAAAAAGGTATAAGGCTTTTTAAGCTATTATGAGATTTTGTAAATAAATATTTATTAGATGTTAATTGTTAAAAATGTGTACTAGATAAAAAAGCGTTATCTGGAAAAGTCACAACCTCTGTCTGTCTCTTAGCAGAGTACCTAGCATACAATAGGCACTTAAATACTTATTCCTCTGCCAAATGATATCCCTATATGCCAAGGATGGTAATTTTCAAATGATGCACTCTCAATTTGTAATTGTAACAGGACAATAAAATATACTGGATAAAATATACTCTTTCTTGCCCATAGCCCAAATGATCCCTTTCATGCTGAACAGCACAGAATTGGACATTTCAACTTGGGTGAAATGAGTTTTATAATGGACTTCACTGAAGTTTTTCTCCCCAAATTCCAAAAAGTTTAGGCAAGCTCAAAGCATTTTTTTTTTGAAAATTTAATTGTGACCAAGTAAACACAAAACAACTTAATTGAGCCAAATTATTTTAACTCCCTGAATAAATGCCTTCAACAAAATACAAATGTTAGTTTGGGCTAAGATAGGTTAACATAAGAAATGTTCATTTGGGGAATTTTATGTTTGTTTGTTTGTTTTCTGTAAAATCATAGCTGAAGATGTTTGTGCATTATATCTCTTTTATAAAAGATCCATATAACAAATGTTTCCTAAATTCAGCACCAGGAAAGCTTATCCTAGTAAAAATGCATGCTTCCTTTGATCAGATAAGATGTTGTAGGCCCGGAAGTTTTTCTTTTTGCCTTAACTGCCAGCACGGTCAGATTAAGTGTAAGAACTAACTTATCTGAAGTTCGTAGTAGTAAAACTTCCCCATTTCTTTCAAGAATTTTAGTAAATGCTTAACAAATATTTGTCATTTGACTGATTGTTTTATATTGTTCTGTTTTTCCACATTTAACTTCAGTTAAGTTCTTCAAATCCTTTTAGAGAATAAGTGAGATATAACTCCCAAGTACGTAACTATTCCAAAAACTTTGCAAAAATAATTGCTCATATTTCCAAGCCATAAAGGCTTTCAAACAAAATACATTTTTTTTTCTTCCTTATTATTTTTTACATGCTGCTTTCATCCCATAGGTTAATTACAGTTCAACCCTTCCATATCAGGAGTTGGGGAGCAACCCTTTCTCTAATATAGAAAAGGACAGCAAGATTATTAGATTTAAAAGTAGTACTAGTTTTGAAGTTTGCTCTTATTTGTTGATTTCTACAATATGAAGGAAGGTATGTCAGATAAGCAAACTTTTAAAAAACAGTTCAAATCAGAGACAGTCACTCTTTTCGCCTTACAGAATAATTTCACATTCTCCATTTAATCTGAGCTCACTGATGTGTACATCCCCTCCATTGATGCAGACTACAACCCCTCTATGCTAGCCTGTTTGTTTCCAGACCATGTCCTCCAACAATCTGTCACAGAGGTCCCAACTTTGCTTTCTCTAGACAACAGCTATCTCTTGTTCTCTCTCTGTTACCATGTCAAACCAATAATTAACTTCAGTATCACCAAATGTTACATGCAGTTTATTGTATGGGGAATTTACATAAGGTCTTAGAGGAAATCATATTTTAAGAAAAGAATTGGCATCAAACATACCATGTTTGAAGGATCAATGTTATCTTTATTTTGATAGGCAGCTGATGTTACAGGACATTCCACATATTCATAGGCTCGATCCTGATGTGCAGGTACTGAGTAAGATTGATTTTCACAAGTTTTGTCAGATGGGTTTTTGTTCAATGGACAACCTGAAATTTAAAAAAAAATATTCAAAGGAATCATCATAAATGATGACAATCTTAGCCCTTATTATGGTGACATACTTGCCTTAATTTGGGGGCAGAGTTAGGTAGCTTGGGGAGAATCAAAGCTCTAATGACCAGTGAGCTGATAAGAGGGAGGCTATTCAGCTCTATAAAGGTCCTGAGCATAGGAGGAAAGCATTTTTTTAAAATGTACTCAGACTCAAAAAATAGCAGGGTCAGAAGAGATATTAAACACCACCTAATGTAATTCAAAGCTTTGACACATTGACAAAGCCCTCAAATTCAGGAGCCAGACACATTTATTATATAAGTTAAACAGTCACACATTTTAATCTTAAAAACAAACAAAATCACAACCAAGGAAGTAGGAGAAAGAACACTACAACAAGAGAACTTCATTGCAACCCAATCCCCAAACTGTTAAACTTATATGACTGGGATATTTTAGTCAATGGGGAAGGACTCCTAAATTACTAATATTTATGTGAGAGATAGTGATGGTACCCAAGCAAGAGTGAACAGATCCTGACGGACCTGCCTACCTTTCATTCTTTTTTTTTTTCCTTTTTAAATTGGGCCTCCCTATTTGGTTCAGGCTGGAAATAAAGGGAGCTTTAATGTACTCCACTTTTCTAACCTGGGTCTGCTTAGGCAACCTTGCATTCCCAGGGGTTCATCTTTGATGCAAAACAGTATGGACACCAATCAGCTGAGGCCATTCTAACTCAGAATTCTGCCAACCTCGGCTTATCTGGTAGCTGGCATTACGGGTGAGCAACACTAAGCGCAGCCCCACCTTTCATTCTAAGGAGGCTATATGAGGAGACAGCAGAATGGGCAAATATTATCTGCTGGGTTTTTTTTTTTTTGGAAAAGGAAAGTTTAGAATAGGCTTCTTTCCCCAATCTCAGAAATGAGAGCTCCTCCCAAGAAGACCTGGGACCAACACGGTATATTTCACTTATAATTAGGCATCCTAAAACATTAATTATATCATACTGACTCAAAGTAGTCCTGACTGGGAAAAGATACAACACTATGAATGACTGAACTTAATAAGTACTGAAATGTCCATTTGTAATAGTAGGAAACATGCAACCACCACTGTGAATCTGACCTAAGTGGTATGCATGAGGGGCAGCACCCTGAGAACCTTTAGCTTCAAGCAACATCTGGTTATCTGGCTAATATCCATGCATGTTTTAGAGAGTTAACTGTAAGCATGAGCTTGTCTTAGGAGAATAAACAATGATTTTCATGTATAAAGAACTACCTCTACCAGCAGACTGCAACTCATCTATAACTTAGTAGACAAATCCTAAGGAGTTGCTTGAGGCAGAAGTCAAGTGACTTGCCTAAGGTCATACAACTACTGTCACTACCTCTTAATGTTTTACACAAATTCTTTATTTGTATCCCCAATGCCTACTATACAGTGCCTAGCAAGTACAAGTGCTTAACAAATGCATGTTGCTTGACAAAATGAAAATCTAAGGACTAGAAATTCCTAAGTTATACTCTCAACACTTTGAAACAAGAAGTCACATACCACAAACCAATCCAATGCTCTCATTCTATACAACATCCTCATAATGGACAAGAGAATTTTCAAAGTAAAATATAAATTTCTCCATGTTCACTTTTCATCTAGAGAGAAAGAGTTGAGTCAACTAAAATGGTAAATACCTGTGGGGTATAATTTAGCCTTGTGTTAAGACATAATCCATTCAGAAGTAAACTTAAATAGATACTAAGAGAAATTTGTAGGTTTTTAAAAAATCAGTTCTATGATTTGCATATCGTGTGCAAATATATATATTATACACCTACCTGATAATGCCTTTCAGGAACATGTAATAATTAAATGAAATCTGATATCGCTACTCTTTTAAAATAATGCAACAATATCTCTGGGTCTCTAGAAGAACAACAAGAAGTAAAATCTCTGGTTTGCTACTATTATTTTAAACCATTTTAGGAAGATTTATATTTTTGGAGTTCTCTTACATATAAACAAGTTACCTTTTTCTTTTCTTTGGTGCATTGGGCATCCTGAAGGTGGAGAGCCTGTCTGATGTTCTGAAGCAGTTGAGACCTGCACTGCAACAGCAGGAGTGGAAGTGGACATACCCATGGTCTGAATCACCTTTTGGACAGCGCCGGACAATTCACTTTTAACGATGTCCTTCAGAAGATGCCCTCTTCATCCATAACCTATCCTACATAAAATCTGAATTGTCAGAAAAGTAAAGACGGTTTTACGGAGGAGTAAAATCAAAGCCAGTGAGGTAAATTAATCTTCCCAAAGTGACACAGTTAATTAAGGAGCACCTTGAAAATCAGACACATAGCTCTTCTCTACAGGTCCAACAGGGTATTTATGCACGTGGCAGCAACAGTAGTAAAGAGGATCACTTTAAAGGAATCTTTTCAGGAATCTCCCTATTAGCAATATCAATGGAAGATGGAAATCTATACTCTTCAGGCTATTAGTACTTACGTCCCCCATTATCAAGCAAAAACTGGTGGATGAACAGAAAACACAAATAACTGGATGCAGTGGAAAGGAATCAATGATCGATGTGAGGGTGCGAGTTCAATCCACAATCTGTCTTACAATGGCACCTGTGTGACACTGGGGAAGCCCTGTAAGTTCTTTGGGTATCAGTTTCCTCATCTGTACGATGCGGGGGGCGGGGGAGGACTTGGTAAAGTGCAGGGGACGAGGGTATGGAGAGGCCTTGGAGAGGGATACCCTTGAAGATTAAGAAAGCCATAACCTTAAGGTTATGCTCAGGCCCGTCCAGAGGACTCTGCGGCCAGGAAGGGAAGGAAGGCGGCGGGGGGAGGAAGGGGGAGGTGGGGGCTGGGGGAGCAGGAAGAGAAGGGGGGGCCGCTTCCAGGGCCGGCCCGCCGCTCGCACCCACCTGTCCCGGGCCTGGCCGGCCACAGCGACTGGAGCCCAGTGTCCCTCTTGACCCTGAGCCGGCTCCGGCGCTCTCCCTTCCCTTCTCCTCCTCCCCGGCGTCCCAGGCCCCGCCCTTCGCCTCCTTCCCTCCTCCCACCTCTCCCCGCCCACTCGGGCTCTGGAAAGCCAAGGCTCCCAGGCAGAACCAGCTGCAGCTGGCTCCGCAGCCGGCTCCTCCCCCTCCCCCTCCCCCTCCCCCTCCCCCCCCCCCTCCTCACTCACCTCCACCACCCCAGCCTCCCGCTACTCGCGCTTCCTCCCTTCGTCCACTTACTTCCTCCTCTCCAAGCGGGACTTCCGGTCCCGAGAGGGGCGGTGAAACGGCCTAGCGGAAGGGGGAAGGGCTGAGCCTAGCCACGCCCTCTTCTCCTCCTGCTGCCTTCCCCCTCCGTTCGCTGTCCTCTTCCTCCTCCTTTCTCCTCACAGCCCTGCCCACCTTTCCAGGTGCTCTTGGGTGTATGGGGAGGCTTCCGGCTGTTTGCATTTAGGTAAGGAAAAAAAAGAAAAAGAAAGAAAGAAAAGCAGAAAAGAAGCGTCTTCCTAAGTGTTAGGTGAATCCAGTTGTAAAATCCCATGCCGTTAGATTGTAAGCTCCATGAGGGCAGGGACTGCCTTTGGTCTTTTTGTATCCCTGGCTGTCAACACGGTGTATGGCTCATTGTAGGAGCTCGATAATGTTTATTGCTCAAATGTTGATTAATTGGTGTCTGCTTCCTGTATCCCATTAGATTTTTAGCTCCTTGAGCAGAGGACTCTTGGTCCTCTTTTTGTATCCCTGTGCTAAGCCCTGGGTCTATGAGGAAAGGCAGAGGACAGCCCCTCCTGTCCGGGAGCTTACAGTCCAGTGGTGAAGACTACATGTAGACAATTATATAAACAATTATAGATAATTTACATAGGGGATAAATTGGAAATAGCCAACAGAGGGAAGGCACTAGAATTAAGGTGTTTGTTTTTAGAATATGCAGATAAATTATAGAAATTCTTAAAAAATGTTTTAACTTTGACTTTAAAATAAATGGCAATTCTTCGTTTTGATTTCAAATCGAGCAGGGACGTGGTTTCTCTATACGAGTTATTCTTGGGGGAACAGTAGCAGTGTGGATAGCTGCCTGTGAATCAGCGAGCATTTATTAAGTGTCTACTGTGTGCCAGATACTCTGCTAGGCACCGGGTACACAAAGACAAAAGGGAAGCAGCCCTCACTAGCTGGGAGTTCACGTTCTGCTAGAGAGACAACGTCTAAATGTTAGCAAAGGAATAGGGACTGCACCTGTTACTTCATTAGTATAGGGAACTCCCAGGTGATAAAATTCCCTCTATCAGAGTAGTCTGAGGCACTTTTGAAACAACTTATAGAAATATTTAGAGCACAGGATTACACAGATGTTTCAGAGGGAACTAAGATCTGACTTGAAAACCAACTATTACGTAATGCTTTCTCTTTACATTAGTATTATGTACAAGGTACATTCAGGATAAATGCAGGGCAATTTGGGGAGGAAAAGAAGGCATTAGGATGATTGGCATTTGTGGACTGATTAAATAATCCTTTTTCTTAATTAGCTTAGTACTATAAGTCAGTGGTGTCAAACTCAAATAGAAATGTGGACCACTCATCCATGCATTAGGATCCTGTGGGCCACCCATTGATTTAGTTTTAAAATGTAATGTTATTTAGATTTGATTGTATTTTTATTTATTTTATAAAATTTTATTATTATGAAAGTGTTACAATTATATGATTATATTTATTATTATACAATTTTATAAAAGGATTTATATCTTTAGGTGTAATAGAATCCTCTCCCCAAACCCCAACATAAGTTTGGCTAGTTTTTCCCTAGAAAGATGTCTCCTGGGCACTTGGGGAGAAAAGGGTCAGAAAAGGTCTCAGAATGAGCCTTTAAGGAAATTGGGGATTCTGAGAGGTAGAAGTAGAAAGGGACTGCATTTTGTACCTGAGAGATAGCCTGTGCAAAAGTAAAAAGATGGGGGGCAGCTAAGTGGTGCAGTGGGTAGAGCATGGGCCCTGGAGTCAGGAGGACCTGAATTCAAATCCAGCCTCAGACACTTACTAGCTGTCTGTGTGACTCTGGGCAAGTCACTTAACCCACATTGCCTCCAAAATTAAAAAAAAAAAAAAAAGCAAAAAGATGGGAGATGTACCATCATGTGTGAGGAAACACAAGAAAGCCAGTTTGGCTGGCTTGCAGAGTGCATAAAGGGCCTCAATGAGGAAAAGTAGGTTAGAGCCAGGTTTGTAAAGAGTTTTTAAATGCCAAACTAGAGAAGTGTACATTTTTAATGCTAAACATTTATTTTCCCATGGAACATGGAAATTAAAGTAAAGTTACATTTGTTACTGGGAATGCTTTAAAGAGCAAGAAATTCCAAACCTCTTCTTGGCTCACATCTGTTGAAGAATTGGAAATAAGCATTTAGTGATAGCTAGGTAAAGCATTAGTCCTGGAGTCAGGAAGACCTGATTTCAGATTTGTGTCAGACACTCACTATCTGCGTGACTCTCCATGACCCTGTATGGAATTTTCTTGGCAAAGATAATGGAGTGGTTTGCCATTTTCTTCTCCAGTGGATTAAGACAAACAGATTAAGTGACTGACCCAGGGCCACACATCTAGCAAATGTCTGAGATCAAATTTGAACTTGGGTCTTCCTGACCCCAGGCCCAGCACTCTATTCACTGAGCCACCTCTACTAAAATCCTTTTCTTAAGAAAGTGCTTAAAAGGTCCAAAATGGAAGTTGAGACAGTGCAAAAGTGGATTAAGGATGGTAACTAAGCAGAATGAGAAATACTTCAGGTCTAGTTAAGATCATTGTGTTTCAGTGTCAGTATTTTTTCTTTGACACAAGGGTCTGGTACCATATTTCATTTGTATTTTAAAATAATAACTCTTGTGATAGGAATTTTTTTTAAGCCCGAGATAATTTACTATAGGGTTAGAATATTGTCACTTTTTGCTGTAAGGTAGGAATTCACTTCCTGGAAGGGGTAGGGAAATAGAATATGCAGAAATGTCTGTAATGTAAAAAGAAAATTAAAACCCACTGTATTTTTAAAGTTCCCAGATATCTATCTCTATTGTGTGTATGTACATATACACACACATTTCAAATTTAAAAAGTGAATTTTATTGATACCTTCTTATATGTATGTATATTTAAACTTTAATGCTTAAAACCATACTAAGATTTTTGGAACATCCTACATAGTACTCCAATATTTACAATTCTAAACAATAGTTTTGGAGACTGCTAGGTGGCATAGTACATAGAGTGCCTGGCCTGAAGTCAGGAAGACCTATTTTCCTGAGTTGAAATCTGGCTTCAGACACTTACTAGCTGTATGACCCTGGGCAAGTTACTTAACTTTCTTTGCCTCAGTTTCCTCATCTATAAAATGAGCTGGAGAAGGAAATGATAAACCACTCCAGTATCTTTGCCAAGAAAACCCCAAATGGGGTCACGAAGAGTTAGCCATGGCTGAAACAACTGAACAAGAACAAGGATATATAATTCCTACTATATGCCAGACACTGTGCCAAGTGCTTTACAAATATTTTCTTATTTGATCCCCACAACAACCCTGGCCGGTAGGTGCTATTGTTATCTTTATTTTATAATTGAGGAAACTGAGTCAAACAGATGTGCAGTAATTTGTCCAAGGTAACACAGCTAATAAGAGTTTGAGACTAGATTTGAACTCAGGTCTTCCTGATTTCAGACTTAGCATTCTTTCCCCTGTGCCACCTAGCAGCTTGATTTAAGAAGATCACTTTGGATTTTTTGGACATGGTCAATGTGAAAATTTATTTTATTTGACTATTCATATTTGTTACAAGGGTTTTTTCTTCCTTTTTTCTCAGTCAGTGAGAGGAGGTGAGGAGAGAGATACATTTATGTTATTTAAAAAAATGTAAAAAAAAATCAGTTTGGAAGCTTTGTGGAAGACACTGAAAAGGGTAGAGATCTGAGGCAAAGAGAATTATGAGGCACTTGAAATAGTCCAGATGAGAGTCAGTCAATCATCCAGTAAACATTTATTAAGTACCTGTCATGTGCCAGGCTCTGTGCTAAGCAATGGGGATACAAATAGGAGAAAAGACAGAGCCTACCCTCAAAGAGCTCACAATCTAATGAGGGAGAAAACAAGCGAGCACATATGTACAAACTATATACAGGATAGATAGGAAATAATTAAAAGAGGGAAAATACTAGAATTAAGAAGAGTTGGGAAAGGCTTCCTGTTGAAGATGAGATTTTAATTGAAACTTAAAGGAAGAGAGGGAAACCAGTAGGTGGAGATGAGGAAGGAGAACTCAGCAGATATGGGGGATAGCCAGAAAAAAATGCTCAAAGCTGAGAGATGACATGATTAGGATCTGAACTAAGGTGGTGGCTGGATGAATGAAGAGAAGAGAACAGATGAGAGAAATGTTGAGGTACAAATGAAAAGATTTGACAATGTATCAGATATGTGGGGTGAAGGAGAGTGAAGAATTAATATGAGATCAATTAGAAATAATCAACAGCACTTGAATTAAGGGGGATTGGGAGATTCCTGTAGAAGGTTGGCTTTTAGTTGGGACTTGAAGGAAGCCAGGTGAGCCAGGAAGTAGAAGTGAGGTGGGAGAGAAATTCCAAGTAAGAGGGACAGCCAGTGAAAATGAATAGAGTTAGGAGATAAAGTAACTTGTTTGAGGAACAATAAGGAGGCACATTTGGATTGAAGAGTATATGTATTGTGAAGCTGGGGAAGCCGATTGAGTAAGATGTGATAAGACTGGGAAGGTAGGAGCAACAGGTTACAAAGGACTTTGAAAAGAGCATTTTCTATTTGATCCTAGAGGTGATAGGGTGCCACTGGAGTTTATTGAGTAGGGGAGTGACATGGTCAGCTTTTGGAACATCAATTTGATAGCTGAATAGAGGATGGACTGGAGTAGAGAGGGGCTTGTGGCAGGTAGATCAACCATAAGACTGTTGTAATAGCCCAGGCATGAGGTGATAAGGGCCTGCACCAAGGT